TTCCCCTGCCGCGACACTGTCGCGCTTCCCCTGCTGCGAGGCCGTCGCGCTTCCTCTGCCGCGACACTGTCGCGCTTCCCCTGCCGCGACACTGTCGCGCTTCCCCTGCTGCGAGGCCGTCGCGCTTCCTCTGCGCGCGACACTGTCGCGCTTCCCCTGCCGCGAGACTGTCGCGCTTCCCCTGCCGCGACACTGTCGCGCTTCCTTTGCCGCGACACTGTCGCGCTTCCCCTGCCGCGACACTGTCGCGCTTCCCCTGCCGCGAGGCCGTCGCGCTTCCCCTGCCGCGACACCGTCGCGCTTCCCCTGCCGCGACACTGTCGCGCTTCCCCTGCCGCGACACTGTCGCGCTTCCCCTGCCGCGACACTGTCGCTCTTCCCCTGCCGCGACACTGTCGCGCTTCCCCTGCTGCGAGGCCGTCGCGCTTCCTTTTTCCGCGACACTGTCGCGCTTCCCCTGCCGCGACACTGTCGCGCTTCCCCTGCCGCGACACTGTCGCGCTTCCCCTGCTGCGAGGCCGTCGCGCTTCCTCTCCCGCGACACTGTCGCTCTTCCCCTGCCGCGACACTGTCGCGCTTCCCCGCTGCGAGGCCGTCGCGCTTCCTTTTTCCGCGACACTGTCGCGCTTCCCTGCCGCGACACTGTCGCGCTTCCTTTGCCGCGACACTGTCGCGCTTCCCCTGCCGCGACACTGTCGCTCTTCCCCCTGCCGCGACACTGTCGCGCTTCCCCGGCGAGGCCGTCGCGCTTCCTTTTTCCGCGACACTGTCGCGCTTCTCCCTTCCCCTGCCGCGACACTGTCGCGCTTCCCCTGCCGCGACACTGTCGCGCTTCCCCTGCTGCGAGGCCGTCGCGCTCCTCTGCCGCGACACTGTCGCGCTTCCCCTGCCGCGACACTGTCGCGCTTCCCCTGCCGCGACATGTCGCGCTTCCTTTGCCGCGACACTGTCGCGCTTTCCCCTGCCGCGACACTGTCGCGGTTCCCCTGCCGCGACACTGTCGCGCTTCCCCTGCCGCGATACTGTCGCGCTTCCCCTGCCGCGACACTGTCGCGCTTCCCCTGCCGCGAGGCCGTCGCGCTTCCCCTGCCGCGACACTGTCGCGCTTCCCCTGCCGCGACACTGTCGCGCTTCCCCCCCTGCGAGGCCGTCGCGCTTCCTCTGCCGCGACACTGTCGCGCTTCCCCTGCCGCGACACTGTCGCGCTTCCCCTGCTGCGAGGCCGTCGCGCTTCCTCTGCCGCGACACTGTCGCGCTTCCCCTGCCGCGACACTGTCGCGCTTCCCCTGCCGCGACACTGTCGCGCTTCCTTTGCCGCGACACTGTCGCGCTTCCCCTGCCGCGACACTGTCGCGCTTCCCCTGCTGCGAGGCCGTCGCGCTTCCTCTGCCGCGACACTGTCGCGCTTCCCCTGCCGCGACACTGTCGCGCTTCCCCTGCCGCGACACTGTCGCGCTTCCTTTGCCGCGACACTGTCGCGCTTTCCCTGCCGCGACACTGTCGCGCTTCCCCTGCCGCGACACTGTCGCGCTTCCCCTGCCGCGATACTGTCGCGCTTCCCCTGCCGCGACACTGTCGCGCTTCCCCTGCCGCGAGGCCGTCGCGCTTCCCCTGCCGCGAGACGCTGGCACAGCCTCGCTGTTTGACGCTGGCACAGCCTCGCTGTGTGAGGCTGGCACAGCCTCGCTGTTTGACGCTGGCACAGCCTCGCTGTGTGAGGCTGGCACAGCCTCGCTGTTTGACGCTGGCACAGCCTCGCTGTTTGACGCTGGCACAGCCTCGCTGTGTGAGGCTGGCACAGCCCCGCTGTTTGACGCTGGCACAGCCTCGCTGTGTGAGGCTGGCACAGCCTCGCTGTGTGAGGCTGGCACAGCCTCGCTGTGTGAGGCTGGCACAGCCTCGCTGTTTGACGCTGGCACAGCCTCGCTGTGTGAGGCTGGCACAGCCAAGCTGTTTGACGCTGGCACAGCCTCGCTGTTTGACGCTGGCACAGCCTCGCTGTTTGACGCTAGCACAGCCTTGCTGTTTGACGCTGGCACAGCCTCGCTGTTTGACGCTGGCACAGCCTGGCTGTTTGACGCTGGCACAGCCTCGCTGTGTGAGGCTGGCACAGCCTCGCTGTTAGACGCTGGCACAGCCTCGCTGTTTGACGCTGGCACGGCCTCGCTGTTTGACGCAGCCACAACCTCGCTGTTTGACGCTGGCACAGCCTCGCTGTTTGACGCTGGCACAGCCTCGCTGTGTGAGGCCGGCACAGCCTCGCTGTTTGACGCTGGCACAGCCTCGCTGTGTGAGGCTGGCACAGCCTCGCTGTTTGACGCTGGCACAGCCTCGCTGTTTGACGCTGGCACAGCCTCGCTGTTTGACCTTGGCACAGCCTCGCTGTGTGAGGCTGGCACAGCCTCGCTGTGTGAGGCTGGCACAGCCTCGCTGTGTGACGCGGGCACAGCCTCGCTGTGTGAGGCTGGCACAGCCTCGCTGTTTGACGCTGGCACAGCCTCGCTGTTTGACGCTGGCACAGCCTCGCTGTTTGACGCTGGCACAGCCTCGCTGTTTGACGCTGGCACAGCCTCGCTGTGTGAGGCTGGCACAGCCTCGCTGTGTGAGGCTGGCACATCCTCGCTGTGTGAGGCTGGCACAGCCTCGCTGTGTGAGGCTGGCACAGCCTCGCTGTTTGACTCTGGCACAGCCTCGCTGTTTGACGCTGGCACAGCCTCGCTGTGTGAGGCTGGCACAGCCTCGCTGTTTGACGCTGGCACAGCCTCGCTGTGTGAGGCTGGCACAGCCTCGCTGTTTGACGCTGGCACAGCCTCGCTGTTTGACGCTGGCACAGTCTCGCTGTGTGAGGCTGGCACAGCCTCGCTGTGTGTGGCTGGCACAGCCTCGCTGTGTGAGGCTGGCACAGCCTCGCTGTGTGAGGCTGGCACAGCCTCGCTGTTTGACGCTGGCACAGCCTCGCTGTTTGACGCTGGCACAGCCTCGCTGTTTGACCTTGGCACAGCCTCGCCGTGTGAGGCTGGCACAGCCTCGCTGTGTGAGGCTGGCACAGCCTCGCTGTTTGACGCTGGCACAGCCTCGCTGTGTGAGGCTGGCATAGCCTCGCTGTTTGACGCTGGCACAGCCTCGCGTTTTACGCTGGCACAGCCTCGCTGTTTGACGCTGGCACAGCCTCGCTGTGTGAGGCTGGCACAGCCTCGCTGTGTGAGGCTGGCGCAGCCCCGCTGTGTGAGGCTGGCACAGCCTCGCTGTTTGACTCTGGCACAGCCTCGCTGTTTGGCACAGCCTCGCTGTTTGACGCTGGCACAGCCTCGCTGTGTGCGGCTGGCACAGCCTCGCTGTGTGAGGCTGGCACAGCCTCGCTGTTTGACGCTGGCACAGCCTCGCTGTTTGACGCTGGCACAGCCTCGCTGTTTGACCTTGGCACAGCCTCGCTGTGTGAGGCTGGCACCGCCTCGTGTGTGAGGCTGGCACAGCCTCGCTGTTTGACGCTGGCACAGCCTCGCTGTTTTACGCTGGCACAGCCTCGCTGTTTGACGCTGGCACAGCCCCTCGCTGTTTGACGCTGGCACAGCCTCGCTGTTGTACGCTGGCACAGCCTCGCTGTTTGACGCTGGCACAGCCTCGCTGTTTGACGCTGGCAAGCCTCGCTGTTGAGGCTGGCACAGCCTCGCTGTGTGAGGCTGGCGCAGCCCCGCTGTTTGAGGCTGGCACAGCCCCGCTGTTTGACTCTGGCACAGCCTCGCTGTTTGACGCTGTCACAGCCTCGCTGTTTGACGCTGGCACAGCCTCACTGTTTGAGGCTGGCACAGCCTCGCTGTTTGACGCTGGCGCTTCCCCTGCCGCGACACTGTCGCGCTTCCCCTGCCGCGAGGCCGTCGCGCTTCCCTTGCCGCGACACTGTCGCGCTTCCCCTGCTGCGAGGCTGTCGCGCTTCCCCTGCCGTGACACTGTCGCGCTTTCCCTGCCGCGACACTGTCGCGCTTCCCCTGCCGCGACACTGTCGCGCTTCCCCTGCCGCGACACTGTCGCGCTTCCCCTGCCGCGACACTGTCGCGCTTCCCCTGCCGCGAGGCCGTCGCGCTTCGTCGGTCAAGTCAAAAATATAGGGTAGGTCAACTCTGGGGTGGGTCAACTTTTTTTGGTAATATTTATATTACTCCTTTTTATATTCCCATATTTATATTCTAATATTTATATTAATATTTTTATTGATTAATATATAGGTAGGTCATCTTTGAGGTGGGTCAAGCTACATAGACTCCGTCTCCGGAGAGTCAGCCCTCTCTCTCTCTCTATCTCTCTCTCTCTCTCTCTCAGTCGCACTCATGGCGCATCACGTAATGCTGCGAGAGAGATAGAACGTCGAAACGACTGGCTGGCTGGGCCAGGCATTGGCCTTCGCCGCCTTCGCCAGAGCTGCCTCCTTGCAGTGCAGTGCCTTGTTCGTTCCCGTTGGGATTAGGCGGGTGCCGGTGCGGGACAGTCTGACTGAGCGACGGCGGCCGGGGGCGGCCTGGGGCTGCCGGTCTCCCGGTCGCCCTCCCTCCGCCACTTTGGGGATGAATATCGCATGAGCCCGGCAAGCAGAGTCCTGCTGCGCGTTCCACGTGCAGTGCGGCCCTCCAGCGCCGCGGGTATCGGTTCCGGGAAAGGGGCGGGCGGAGGGCGCACGGTGCACCGGGGACCGCCCGGCCCGCCCGCCCGGCCCCACTTACTGGCCAAAAGGGTCGGAATGCGAGGGGATGGGAGGGGGGGGAGGGAGGGGAGGGGAGGGGAGGGGAGGGAGGGAGGGGAGGGCGCCCCCGCAGGAAATAGAGGAATGCTTCCAGTGGCGCTGCATTAAGCACGCCGTTTGTGGTCCGCTCGGGTTGTCTGAATTTTACACGAGGCGTTAAGGTTAGGCGGAGACCGACGGAAGCGCGCTGCGCGGCGCTGCGCGGCGCGGCGGCGGGCCGGGACTACGCCACTGTAACAGACACGGCGTCTGCTTCGGTCCGCAGGGGCACCAGCGGCATCGACATCGACCTGCGGCGCGTGGACATTGACCAGTGCCCGTCGCGGCCCGGCTCCACGGAGCTCAACATCTTCGCGGCCTCCGACAAGTGCAAGAAGCGGACCACCGAGGTGAGACACGCCCCCTTTTTCCCATTTCCCTCCCCCTCCCCGCTTTGAGCGTGCCGCGGCACTGCCGCCTCTCTGTCTGTTCGCAGTGCGAGGCGATCAAAGGTCTGGGCTTCCGGCGCGGCTCCTACCAGTGCGTGTGCCGCAAGGGCTTCTACTTCCCCGAGACCAAGTCCAGCCACCGCGCCTTCAACGGCAGCCACATCGAGGAGGAGTACGAGAAGCTGCAGGGGGTGAGCACGCCGCAACCAGGACGGCGACGGCGAGGCGAGGCGACCAGAACGACAAGTGAGGCTTGTTGCAGGGCCAGGACTCGGAGTACGCGCTGCCCGGGGCCTTCGAGTGCCTACAGTGCGCCGAGGGCTGTGAGTCCTGCGAGGACAGCCGTCCGTGCGTGCTGGCCCTCAACTGGGCCGTGCGCACCGCGCTGCTGGTGCTGTCCTGCGCCATCATCCTGTGCCTGCCCGCCGTGCTGCTCTTCACCTGGAAGTACCAGCACGTCAAGGTAGGCCGCCCCCGGGGCCACCCCGCCAGCCCACCACCGGACACTAAACTGCGGCCCGCCACTAAACTGGGGGCTTGCCTTGGGGGGTTCCACCCCCCCCCCACCCCCACCCCCCAAAAAAAGGAAACCAGTAACTTGAACCCAGGCTGCAGGTTTAAAATATCATATTATTGCGTTTGCTGCCGCGGCCACCATGGCTGTCTGATACACTGGTGTACCTGGCTGCTCCACAGGTAGTGCGCGCGGCCAGCCCCGTCCTGCTCAGAGTGATCGTCCTGGGCGCCTTTTTTTTTCCATTCAAACCCCTTTTGCCCCCGGGGTGAGAATCCCCTCCCCCCCTGGCGTCCCAAAGCATTCCCGCCCTTTTGGGGCGGGGACCTCAAGGGCGCCCGGGAGGAAACCTCTTTTTCCCCTCCCCCTCTTTTTCTCCGCCCGTCTTCGTCTTCCCCGCCTTCACCTTGACCTTTTTGCCTTGGTTTCCGGGCTCTTTTTGCTCCTGGCCCCTTTTCTTGTTCCTTGTTTCTGGCTCTTCTTGCCCTCCTCGCTCTTCTTGCGCGGCGCCGCGAATTAGTGCACCACGGGGGTTATGAGCAAAGTTGCCATTTTATAGGCCAAGTTTGCAAAAGCGATCGCAAAACGCTGTGTGACATGTATATCGCGGCTTCGCGCGCCGCGGCCTCGGCACCACGCCGCGCCACGCCACGCCGCGCCACGCCACGCGTGCGCAGACGGCGATCATTTGACTGCAAAGGAATCCACTCTGCGGCTCGGCGCGCGGCGCGCCCCGGCCGGAGGTAGTACATCCCGGAAGGGAAAAATGATTAATGGTGGGCCGTCTGGCACCCTCCGGCAGGATCTCCGTGATTTTCCGCGTGCGCTCCGCCAAGGCCGTCAAGATCACCGACGTGGAGCTGATGCAGCGGGTGGGCGCGGTGGCCGGGATGTTCGGCGTGCTGCTGGCGGTGCGCACCCTGGTGGACCCGCCGCCCGTCATCGTGGGCCGCACCGCCGACGACCTCAAGGCCTTCCTGTGCCGCACCGACTGGTGGGACCACTGCTTCACCGTGCGTGAGTATGCTCCACCATTTATTTCTAAACTGGAATGATTTTTTTTAAAATTCAAATTTTGTCACAAAAAAATGTGTGGTTCCTGAAGAAGTTCACTTAAATTCATCAATGTCTACGATTTTCAGTGGACTACAATATTTCAGAGTTATTTTTCCAAGGGCGAAACTGGCGCGAAAAAATGTGTTAAATTAGACCCAAATTTGCCCTCCCTTTATTTTGATTTTCTTTTCGCCACACCGTTGTAGGCTGTTTCTCCTCCCAGGCGAGAGGCTCGGGTTTCGGCCGTATTGTTGTTGTCCGAGGCGACCCCCTGAATGTCCACGATAATTACGTGGGATCGAGTGAATAAAAACAATCGAGCGTCGTGCCCGGCCGGTGCGAGAGAGAGACAGAGAGAGACGGAGCGGCAAGCGGGCTGCCCCCAGACAATGAGGTACCGCTCGGACCGTGAGAGCTGTAAAGCTGTGCGCCTGTCTCGTCCAATGTACCTCGTCCTCTAGGTGTCCCGGGGGGGCCAAGCCAGCCCTCCCAAGCCGGCCTCTGCCCTGCCCCACCCTCCTAAACATTGCTTCTCTTTCGAACTTGCCTCCCCTTCCGTCAGACTGCCAGCCCTGCCTGTGCGGCCCCGTGACCCGCCGTGGCTGACGTGGCCGCCCTCAAGGTCAACATAAATCAGCCGCCAGTGGGGATGGCTGCCACCTCAAGTGTTTCCCTAAGTGCCTCGGCGGACGTCGGCCTGGCGGCTGTTGGATGGAAGGACAGGTGGACAGACAGACAGACAGACAGACAGACAGACAGACAGACAGACAGACAGACAGTCAGACAGACAGACAGACAGACAGACAGACAGACAGACAGACAGACAGACAGATGGACAGCCTTCTCTTCGTCCTTCGTCCACTTTGGCCTCTTTTATTTCGGTCTGAATATAATCCAAGGCCCCCGTCGGCGTCACGTCAGGGAGGTGTCTAGGAGTGGCAACGGATTGCAACCCCCTCCACCAGCCCCTCCAGGCCCCTTTTCCCATCCAGCACCCCGCCCCTTTCCCCTCGCTGCGACCGTCCAATTCATTTTCGTGGCAGACCCCCTGCATAGACGGCAATTGAATAGCAAAACGCATTTGCATCCGCCCGAATTCCAGCTTTTCCAGCGTTCCAGGTTCGGCGACTCGCCCTTCGGCGCGTTCATTTAAAGTTGAGCGGGCTGCCTGCGGTGGAGTCGCCCGTTTGTTGTAGGCTCCCTGTAGTGCTAATTATACTTTTTTTTGAAATATACGGCGGAGGCAAAAAAAAGGGCGCATCGAACAACAAGCGGGGCGAGCGCAAGTTCCTTTATTATTCATTGAACGGGGAGAAAGAGCAAAAAACCGCGGCGGGCTTGGCAACTAGAACTGGCGACGTAGTCTGATAATTAAATATTCACACCGGATTAGACCATCTGGTTTTTTTTGTTGCTGTTTTTCTCTTTGGGTTTATTTTTTATGGGCGTCGAGGGTAAACATTGTCGGGCAAGGTCGGTCGGAATGGGACCCTTGTTGGAGCGCCTGTGGAATCGAGGGTAGGCATCACTGCGCGGCGAGGTCGGCCGGCGGGCCGGCCTATGCTCGACTCCACAGGCGTTCGGGACCTTCACCGTTCAGCGTCCGGGGCCTGAGGCGTAGGATGGGTGGCCTGCCCGGCAGGCGCAGGTGGGGGCTTGCCCCTCTCAGATTCGTGCCAACTTCACAAAAATTTCACTTTAGTTACTTGTTAAAGTGTGCGTGACAAACCATCATGAGGACAAACAAAACATTACGAAATCAACGCTTTTAATTAAGTTGACGTTGACGTTGGCAGCGTCCACGAGATATACAGACACCTCGAGTCGGAATTTTCGTTAAGTTGGCACCCCCTCGACTCGTTAAGAAACGACAAGCGGACATTTGCCGCTCATTGGCACAGAGGCGCGCGGTGCCACGCAGTGCAGTCACGGCGGCGGCGTTTCTCACTCGAATGGGGACCACACCAGCGCCGCTTGGATAAATACTTGAGCAGCGGCGCTTCATCGTGCCGCGCCGTGCGGAGCCGAGCCCAGCCGAGCCGAAGCGAGCCCCTACCAGGTTGAAATATCACTCTGTTTTGTGCAGTTACTCACCCCTCAGCCATCAGGCCCATCAGGCATTGCAGCCAAGAGGCATCAGGCGGGATATTTATCGCAGGATCATTTTCAGCGCTCCGCGGCAATAGAGGATAATGGCGAGGATCCCCAGTGAGCACTCGGAGCCTGGCTGTGCTGCGCGGTGCTGTGCTCCGCCACCGCCAAGTGGTGCGTCTTCTCCGCCTTCTCCTGCGGCGAGAAATATGGCCGCGCCCAGCCGCCTTGTTTACGTGCCGTCATCGGAACGGCCCCGACGCACTGCGTCGCCGCGGCCCGGGTCCCGGGTTCGATACCGCTGCGGCCCTCGCATTTTAATTCCGTCGCAGAGTCGCAGCCACAGCGCACTCAACCGGCCGCGGTGGAAAAGGTCAACCTTCCAGCGGACTGATGAAGCCGGGCGGGAGTGGCCCCTAGATGCGACTAGCTGACGTCTCAACGCGACAGTCCTTTTAAAACTTGCATATTTTGCCCGGCAGAGATGAACGCTCAGAATTTATACAAGCTGCTCGTCGGGTGGTGATCCGGGGCCGGCGGCCCGACGGCCAGCCCCACACTGCCGCCGCGCCACGAAGCACCGGCCAGCCTTCGTCTCTCTCGCACTCACGGGGCGTCCTGTGCGGGTGCGAGAGAGACGAAGCGACGACAACGACTCTCGGAATCAGTCTGCAGACTAAGCTCACTGCCCCAGCGCCGTGCCTGGCCGTGCCTGGCCGTCCCGGCCGGGTAGGACGGCAGGGCTCGCTATGAATTAACATGGACGGGCCAGACCCAGCCCGGGCCGTGGCCGTGGGGCCGTCGGGCCGGCCGGACCGCAGCACTCTGGACGGACTGTGCCGGGTTAATTGAAACGGTACCTCACTGCTTTCGGCATGCCACGGCTTGCCGGCCCTTTCGCAGGGCAAGAACGCCGAGATGCAGGCTGCGACGCTGCGACGGCCTCGCCGGGTCACGTCGCGTCCTCGGCCTGGACGAAAAGGACGAGCAGCAGCTGCCTCGAGGTCCTCCCTCCCCCCACCCCCTTTGCTACGGTCCCCGAAGAGTAGTCTCAGGTGACTTGTAGCTGTGGCTTCTAATTCATCCCCCGGCGGGGATGCAGCTGGCGATGCAGGCGCGGCGCTGCTGCTACAGGTGCTGGAGAAGTGTAGCCGCGGCCCAGCCCGGCCGGGCCAGCCCGTGGGTACGCCTCGCCTCGACGTGGCACTACGTAAGGGTACATCTACCGAGGCACAGTGTACCCGCGGCACAAAACGCTGTCAGGCGTCGTGCAGTCCGGGATCAATAACGTCCAGGCGAGATTTTAGGACAGTCCTGGAAACGGGTTGCCGGCTCATAAAAACGCACCATGTTCCAGGACGGTCCTGGAAGTTTTGCCATTTCCTCCAGGACCGTCCTGGAAACGGGCCCTCCGATCCTGTTTTTTTTTTCAGGACGCGTTTTTACCGTGCATTGCATCCGCGGGTTCAATGGCTGTCCTCCTGACAGGGGGCTGCGATTTTTGTCTTCCTGGAAAAATTGCCGGAGCGCGTCAGGGCGGTCTCGGGGGTGGAAGCGAAAGCGGACGAGGCGAGGGGAGGGGGGGGAGGGCGCGGACCGGATCCGATTTTTAATTGGATTTTCAAGCTGAAGGCCCAAAGGCCCAAAGGCCCACAGGCCCGAAGGGTCGGTCGGTCGCAGGCTGATGATACCAATCGGCTTGGCCCAATAATAATGTCTTCAGCAGCCGGCATGATGCAGCGGTCATTACCCCAACCCCCGAACGAGTGAAAAGAAAAATATTGTTAAACTGATTTGGGGCAGATTTAACGCGATGCATGGAAACGATGCTACGTATATTTGTACGGACTCTGGTGCCTTCGCCTCAAGGCACCGCTCTCGGGTGGTCGGGGGCTGCGACAATTTGGACTGGCAGCCGCAGCAGTGCTGCTTCCCGGCAGGCGGAAGAAACAGCGCGGTCGGTTCGGTCTTTGTGAAGTCGGACCTGCAGGGCATGGCAGGGCTCGGCGACAGGGCATGCAGCGGCACACAGTGGGCCAGAAGACCAGTGGAGGCGGCCAAAACTCTGAACGCGTTTTGAGCTCCAGAGTCGCTAAATAGGCCTCGAACCGAACGTGTGACCCCACCAATGGATTGCTCTCCGAACGAGGAATCCATTGGTGGGGTCACACGCTCGGTTCGAGTCCTGTTCAGCGACTCTGAAGCTCAAAACACGTCTAGAGTTTTGGCCGCCTCCACCGGTCCTCTGGCCCACTGTGCGACGTCAAGGCCTTATTGCAGCCGATCCCCGCCGCTGGCTGGAAGCGCTGAAGCGCTGGGAGCAGCCTCGGCAGCGCATGGCCTGGCATGGCGACCCCAGTCCCACCAGTCCCGGAGCGAAATGAGATAAGCATTTCGTCTGTCCCGCGGAGAGCCAGGGAGTCCGGTCTGGCAGCGCCGGTCCGGTCCGGTCCCGCTGGGGAGGCAAAGCCGTGGACAAAGCTAAGCCAAACCCGCCCCGCCCCGCCCGCCGCGCCCTGTCTGGGGAAAAGGGGAGGCAGGAACGACTGGTGGACAGAGACGGAAGGGATTAGCAACGACAAGTCACCCCTGCCAGGCCGCCGGGCCGCCACCTGATTGGTTACGCACGACGCGGCACTCGTCACAGGCCGACGGCGGCGCGGTGGCGGCAGGCGGCGGCAGCGTCCGAAGCCTGGCTTTTAGCTCCGCGGCCGCAGTGGGGTGCGAAACACTTTGGGAGCCGGCATGGCACGGGGCCCGGAGGGGCTGGGAGGCAATTGGCCCGAGTGCGTGTGTGCGTGTGCTTCAGTGTGTGTGTTGTGTCTGTGTGTCTGTGTGCGCGAGTGTGCGTTCCCAATGTGCGCGGCGGGCGATGCGGCGTGGGGCCGCACCCCGACAGGAACCATATGGAGCTTCCCCTTCCCCCGGGCGGTCCGGGCGGTCCAGGCGGTCCGAGCGGTTCGGGCGGCGGCCCCGCCGACCATGGCGTTTGGGTGGAGATTGTGATGTGTCCGGCGAGGGCTCCAGTGCGTGTGGCGGGTTGTCAGGAAGTGGAGGCGAGGCGACGCGCGGCGAGGCGCGAGGCGGCCATGTTGTATGAATCAGCATTGCGCAGCCGGAGAGCCAAGTGAGTCTCTGTCATTCCCCTTCCCTCCCTGTCTACAACCGCAGCCCCGCCCCGCCCGCCCGCCCCGCCCCGCCCCGCCCGCCCCGCCCCGCCCCGCCCCGCCCCCGCCCGCCCGCCCCGCCCGGGTACCGCCGAGAGAGGCACCCATTGTCAACGGCAAGCGACCCTCGCTTGACCCGGCCGCGCCCGGCGGCCCCGCCCGGCCCCCGTTCATCATTTAAATGAGTCTCGCTGAAACATTTTTCTTTTTTTTCCAGTGGAGTTATCTTTCCTCCTCTGGGGAGTTCGACTGTGCATTGTCGTCCGCAAAGCGCCGACCGAGTTCAACGAGGCCCGCTTCATCTCCATGGCCATCTACAACGAGTTCCTGCTGTCCATCTTCCTCAACGTGTCCATGTAGGTGCCGCCCGCCTACGCTCTGTTTTTTTTTATCAAAGCCTCCGATGGTTCCCTTTTATTCGTCCTTTTTGTTTCCTGTTACACAACGTTTCGATTTTCTTTTTCTCAGGTTTTTCCTGCAGTCGTCGGCCAACCCCGACCTGCTGTTCATCATCCTGTTCGCGCACACGCAGCTCACCGTCACGCTCCTGCTCGCCCTCATCTTCGGCAGCAAGGTAAACAAATGGGTTCCACTCGCTGCCACACGTTTGAAAAAAAAATGGGGGTTGAACCACCGCGAGAGTGGCGCGCGAGGTAACGACCAAACCGGCGTCGAAAGCCACTGGGCCACCGGCTCTCTCACGCTGGCAGTTGCCTGCGGTTCTCTGCCCGTTGGGCCTGGAAGACCGGTGGAGGCGGTGCAACTTGACCGGGGCGGGCGCTCCGGAGTGCAAATTTCACGATCGGATTCCCTTTGCCCCCCATGGATTCCTCCGGGAACGAAGGGTCCATGCGGTGGGGACACGGACCAGGGGTTTGCATTGGGGCCCAAAAGCGAAAGTTTGAACCCCCCCCCGGCCCGGCCCACTGTGTGCCGGCGTTCCGGTTCTGCCTGCTCGGCCTCTGCACTGCCGGCCGGCGGATGGCTTTTTGGGTTTGGGGGCAATTCGGCGGGGAGGGGTTTTCAAAAAAAATTTCCGGCGGCAAACCATCCAGGGTACCGTTTGATTTGGGCGGTTTCGGGTGGGGCGGGGCGGGGCGGGGCGGGGCGGGGCCGGTGGGTGGCCTGGGAACTGCGGCAGCTAGCTGGGGCGTGGAGTGCTGCAGTCAGAAGGGCGGGACTGCGGTCGCGGTGCGTTTCGCTGGTTTCGCAGTGCCGTGGTCGCGGTGCGTTTCGCTGGTTTGGCAGTGCCGTGGTCGCGGTGCCGGGAGGAAAACAGGCCGCGGCTGATAGTGATGGATGCACCTTGCCGACGACGTCGACGCGGTGCTGCGCGGTGCTCAGGTTCCTCGGGGAGCCGCTGCTGCCGCTGCTGCCGCTGCTGCCGCCCTCCTGGCTCGTTAGTGCCGGGGCACTCGAAGAGCCCCGCGGCCCGGGACGGACGGCTCCACGGCGCGGAGCTCATTTGGATGTTGTGACCCTCAAACGCTATGAGTTGGTCGGGAAAGTTCGCGGGAGATTCTTTTTCGTGACTTTTCATGAGGTCTTGTTAAAAAATAAAATGTAATAAACAATATTGCTGACAATGCCGTTTTTACTTTTGCACGTGACTGTCTTGAGGGTAGAAGTTGGTGGCGCGGGTTTCATCGCCGCATGTTTGGCCCAGCCCTCCAGCCTTGCCTCGGCCCGCTGCGACGGCCTCGGCCCGCGGAAGCGAAGCAACACAGAGCGCGCGGCGCGCGGCCACGCAGCGCGGGACTGACATCTTCCAGCCGCGGAGTGGAAAAGTGGCTTCGAAGAAGCGCGGAGCTCATCGGGACGGAGTTCCTTTCTTCCAGTGCGGCAGCGGCATGCCTTGCCAGCAAGGGGGCGGCGCGGCGCCGTGGCGGCACACCTGCCTGGATGCAGCCCGGCCGAGCGGCATGCCTAACTACACGGCGCTCCACGCAGACGCCGTTCGGCTTGGCTCGCCCGCCGCGGCGCCGCTCGGTTCATCTCGCCCTGACTTCGGGCTTGTGTAATTAGTCGCTTGCGAAAGTTGTTTCGTTGCGAAGTGAGCGGTGAGGGTGCAGCGGCCGGGGACGCGGAGGGCATCCCTCAGCCCTTCAAGAAGGAGTGGCGGCCGCCACCGACGGGGTGGTGCGGTCCGTGGTGTCCAGGGCGGCCTCCACGGCCTCTACGGCCGCGATGCCCAGCCCTCCAATTAGGGTATTGCAGCATCATCAGCAGCTGGTGCAGTGGCGCGGCGCGGCGCGGCAGGCCTAATGGCACGGGGTGTGCTAATGTGCTGGGGGGGGGGGTCTCCAGACCATGCAGGGCTTGCAGGCCGCGACGACGGAAAGGAGGGCCGCGGCGCAGGCCACCAAGGGCGCGGTGCATGTCGCCAGCGGTCGCGCTGTCTCTCTCGCACCCCCGCGGAGCGCGCCGTGAGTGCGAGAGAGATGGCGCGACGGGAGCGCGACTCGGAATGAGCCTGCAGGTCACGGCACTGCCACGGGGCGTCGTTAGGCCGGCCAGGCAGGCAGGCAGGCGCTACCCTTTTCAAGAGTCAAGCAGCCAGCAGGGAGTAGAGGAGGAGCGAGACGAGGCTAGTGTACTAGACAAGGCACACGGATCCGTGGCGCATCCGTGAATTGGGTTCGCAGGTCACCGTCGCTCTCGCACCTATACCGGACGCCCACTGAGTTCGAGAGAGATAGAGCGACGTTGGCTGGTCACGGTCAAAGAATGGTCCGGCCGGTCCGTGTGGCCATGCCCATGTTGTTGTTCTCGTGTCGCTTGTTATTCTTGTTACCGCGGGGCCTCGGGGCTGCAGGGCTGCAGGGCTGCCAACTTGTGTGTTGTTGTTCCGCCAGTGGCGTGCTCGTGGCTGCAGGCCCATTTTGGTGGGGTGGCTCGCGGCGTGCGGTTAAAGCTGTGCGGAAAGTTGCTAAGTCCACAAGCTCATTCAATACGGGGTCTGTGGGTCGAAACCTGTTGAGCAAAAAAAAATAGCCTTTGCCTCTGGACCGAGCAGTGCCGGCTGTGGAAAGGCGCACTCCAAGAACTAGTGCCGTAATGCGTTTGTGACTTTGCAGGCGTACTTGGTGTTCCGGTGCCGAGGCCGGCCCGACGAGGTGTCCGGGACCACGGGGACGACGGGCCCCACGTACAACGCGGCCGACGGCAGCCGCGCGCCCACCACCAAGTTCAGCCACCTGCGCGCCGAGTGCCAGCAGAAGTACGACCAGCCGGCCGCCGTCCCCGCGCTGCCCCCGGCGCAGGGCGCGCAGGGCGTGCCGTCGTCCACGTCGGCCTCGGCGCAGAGCGGCCACCAGGCCTCGGCCAACGGGTCGGCCAACGGGTCGGCCACGCAGGCGCTGCCAGCGCCGCCCCAGAAGGCAGAGGTAGGCCGCCATCCCGAACCGTTCCCTGGACGCCCTGTCTTTCTCGCGCCCCTTAGCGAGGCCCCTCCAGAGCGAGGAGGACAGAGCGGCAGGAGCATGAAGGTAAATGACGCCATCATGGTGAGACCTAAACCCGCGATCTTTCGTGCAGGACGAGTTTTGCCGCCTGCGCACCGAGCTGGAGTCCCTCCACGAGCGCTGCCTGCGCGGCGGCGAGGCGCGCCTGGCCGACCTGCTCAAGTCCATGCTGGAGGAGCCGGCCGCGCCCGTGCAGCGCGCCAGCGTGGGCAGCCAGGCCGACGCGCCGCCGCCGCCGCCCCGCCGCCGCCACCGCCGCTCTTGGATCAGGACGCCGACCGGCAGCGCGACCACGAGCAGCGAAGCCGCGACCGGCACCGCAGCCGCGAGCGCGACCGGGAGCGCGACCGGGACCGGGACCGGGGGCTCATCCTCCGGCCGACGCTGCTTACCGTCAGGGAGCTGCGGGTCATCCAGAAGAGCGTGGTGCAGCCGGCGGGGTCGCGGCCGCGCGCCCCGAAGCAGCAGCAGAGCGGCGGGCAGCTCGACAACGCGCGCAGCCCGCGCAGCCCCGCCAGCCCCATGAGCCCCCTCAGCCAGCTCAGCCCGCTGAGTCAGACCAGCCCGCTCTGCTCGCCGGGGGCCTCCGAGGACGCCAACGGCAACGCCAACGGCAGCGCCAACGGCATGCACGTCTTCAAGGACTCGAACCACAACGACAAGCCAAGCCGCGCCGCCGACGACACGGCCGCCACCGTCACGCTCAGCATGGCCACGGACGAGGTCACCGTGTAGCGCCACCACCGGGACCATTCCGTATTTTCGTCGCTGTTTTTTTCCTGACTTTGTATGCCGTCTGTGAAACTGTGGCACTGTAACACTTGGCTACATTTCGCCTGCTTCGCCGTGGTGACTGCGCCGAGGCTGCGCCACCCTGACCCTCGCGGTGGGCGGCGGGGCGGGCTGGGAGGAATCCTCCCACGGAAGGAAAGGCGGTAGTGAAGTGCCGTCGCCCAAGGCACGCCCAAGGCACGCCCAAGGCACGCCCAAGGCACGCTCTGCAAACTCGGTCTTCTCCCCATTTCGGCGTGTTGACCGTGAAATTAGGCGGGGTTGATCCCCGGCGGCTGCCACAGTGCTGGCACTGGCCGCCCGCACCGCCCGGCCGGCAACCCGACGGCCAGTGGCTCTGCGTTCCGCCTGGCTCCGCCGGGCTCGGCCGGGCCGACACGGACCGATGGATGATGGAATAAAGCGAACCAAAGGAAGCGTTGTTCGTAATTATACATGCCCCCTCGGCTCTCCGAGGCTCTCCGAGGCCCCCTTCCCGTCTTGGTGATCTCCCTCTCCCTCTATTGACTTTTGCCTCCCCAGTCAGGAATTACCGACGACGGGACCAATTGGCTTCAAAGGAGGAAAGGAGGGCTTGGCTGTGGCCCTGCACCGCCCTGCACGCGTCGTGGTCGGTAAATTTGCGTGTGAATGTGTACATATGATGTAAAAAAATCATTTTGATAAATAAAAGTGAGCGTGGGTTTGTGTATTTATTTTCAGTGTATTTTTTAACCTTTCAAATGGTTGGTTTTTCAGTTTAATGCAACCTAACAAACACCAAAAAAATTGAACAGATGAAAAATCACTACAGCACCTGCATTTACGTGAAAGCAGATGATACATGATTTATAATCCAATTGTTTTGTCGTTGGTTAACATGGTAAAAGATTGGCGCGATCAAACAGATAAACACCGCGATGGGCGATTTGTTTGGTTATCTTTTCGCGCGCTGCTCTCTAAGGCTCTTAACAGTCCCTTCCGGGACGTTGCGCGCGAGAATCGGTCAAAGGTCCCACTTTTGCGACTGGTCTACCCTGCCTGAGGCGCTATCAGCCAGAAAGATGATGCCAAACACAACTGGGTTCACAGCACCAGCAACGAAAAGACATTGGTCGGCAAGGC